TTCACTCATCCTACGTGGCATCAATGTAATATAATGTTGCTTTTAAGCTACTTACGTGTCTGCCACCTAACCATCACGTCAAGGAATTAGGGTCCAACGGGGACGCTGAGGAGGTGATGGAGTAAAATGGAAGCTTCATTCCACCGCCGAGGAGGACGGCCTTTAAGAAGGCCTTGCGAAGGGAGATTCAATGCAAAAATTCAGTTCTCACTTCAATTGTCGTCAGGACAATAGGAAAACCAGTAACAACCAACGCATATATGCTGCTTAACAGAACTCATGATAGCTGTGAGGCAAGACTGGTAGTAGGGCCAAAAGACCAAACCGCCTTCGCGACAGTTATTCCAGTGGTGCGTCTTCTAAGTTCAATTTTCATGCGCGGATTCGGGTTCTCCTAGAATCCTATTCATGTGGTACAAGTGGCAATATCAACTTTAACTTGTAAGCACACACATGTCTATATAGATAGATAGAGAGAGAGAGAGAGAGTGAACGAGGGAGATGCGTACAAACCGATGCAACGACGCACAGACGTGGGCCAAGTTCACCTCACCTCGCTTGCGCTCCACTTTGTCTCAGACCTTGACCACGACTGCGCCAGTTCGGCTCATCTCCGCAGCCACTTAGAAGTTGCGAGACCTGGGTAGCCGAAACATGCTGCGTGTGTAGTTGCCCTGAGCACGAATGCACATTTTGTGACATCATAAACTCTCCTGTTTAATAATAATATGTATATACACAACCGACACGAAAGATAGATGAATGACTGGACGTAGGAATGCCTACGCGCATAAACAGACACTCAAAGACAACTAGAACACACACCCAGACATCAACAGATGCATCGATTTGTGTATCGTCTGTGTATACAAGCAGGTATACGCATAGCTGGGTAGACGATCGGATTATCTATGTGCTTGCCTGTCTATTGAACTGACTGGCTTGGGTTCAGGCTATCGATTTATCCATCCTTTGGGCTTGATTATCTGCAGAGGTGCGTGTGCGTAAGTCGTCGTGCCCCAAATGGCCGTCTGCATGTGTGCAGAACTGCGAAGAGGACAGTATAGATGTGAGGAAGTATCAGAAGTGATTAAGATTCACGAGTCAATAGGATGAGTCATTCGGTCGGGGCCAAAAACTGACTCGCCATTCCGCCAGCAGAATGCAGGCAATTGGGCGAGAGAAGGCTGACCCGGAAGAAAGTGCAGGTGGCAGCGGCGGTGTGCCGCCGGCGCCGGAGTCGCATGCCTCTGGCCCACTTGGGCTGGCCACCTGAAATGTCCCAACCACAGAGGCGGATCCCCTGCCTGGAATCGATTAGGTCGTCACGGTTTGGAGGGCCATTTTCCGGCTCAAACAGCGCTTGTGCATGGCTGGCTCCTGAAAGTGGATGTGTGTGCGTATGCATATGATTGTTGGTGTTCGGATTCAGGGCTGATGGCACTTTCTACAGCCCGTCGAGTCTACAAGCCAGAAGCAAACACAAATCTCCCCTCAATTCTGCGGATCAAGTGCAAAGGCTCACGCTAAAAATAAGCAATTCTGAGGCTATAAAAAGAATTGTAGTCATCTTAGATCATATAACACGATGAAGAAGTGATAGTGGAACTTTAGCACAATTAAATGCTTTGGCCTCACGAGGCATCGTATAATTGGGGGGAATAAAACCGCCTATCAGAGTCTCCTTCATCACATGGAACCTAGGGTGGTTGTCCAGTTTTCATGCCAGATCTAATAATGGCATGAGAAATAGTTAATTATGAAGAAACAGTGAGGCCAACGGCTTCGTCCACCTTCAGGATTATAGGCGATGAGGCTAGTCAAGTCGGGCACTTTAGCGTTGTGATTTAAACACAGGATGAATCTCCTGCAAGGATCGACTTCGGCATGAACGACTCTGCGACCTTCTGTTTCGTATAGATGGGATCCCGGCTCCGGAAGAGGCTGTCACTTCGGACAAGCAACTTTAACCCCGAAGTAAGTATTTTTCCAGACTTTAAATACTTCTTGGGTAAAAAAGAATGCTGGGATTCAAGGAACCTCTTGACTCAAAACTATTGAGCTCACTTATATTTTGAGTAAAAGTATCTATTGAAGAGATCCGAAAGTTGAGCCCCCCAGAAAACAACCGCGACGTCTTCTCGGCAAGTTCTGGATAGGCCTTACTGTAACATTATGGTTGATACTGTCCCTGAAGCAATCTCCTTCGATTTCGGTGAAAGCGGGCTAAGCTTTCGCCCGTCCTATGACGGATGTCATCCCCCCTACATGTTGTATATATATCCCATACCTCTGCATCTTGATGCGATATCACATTCAAGTTATATATCAATCTGGAAGCATTTGCTTGTGAATGTTTATGTGTGCGTATATGCTAGAAACCAGAAGGGCATAGGCGTTTGGCATATATAAAGAATATTGAGCTTGAAGATAGTTGTGAGAATGAAAGCCGGCTCTGACGAAGCATGTCATTTGACGTTCCAAATCTTGGCACGTTTGCATCTGAATCAAAGGGATCCAGGAAGAATCCACCTCGTCTTCTGATGGGATCTACCTTCGAATCTATTCACCACACACTTTCACTCGAAATGGAATTGAGCTCAACAATACGATTAAGATTATTTAGATGTTTTCCCACAACGGTATCAGCAGGCCTCGCGAA